GTCACATCGCCCTCGACTTCCTGGTGGCCTCCGATGCCATCGCGCCCAGCATGGGCGTTCCCGAGCGCGTCGCGGATTTTGCCCCGCGCAATCTTTATGCTGTTCGAGTTCGCCTAGCGGGTGATGCGCGGCCCCAGTCGGTGAATCCAGTGGCCAAGCTTCGAGAGGGCGATGCTGATGATGACGGAGATGACGCAGCGCATGGAGTGCCAGCCGTACCTTGGGAGGACGTCGCGGGGCGCGGCGGGCGCCTCAGATTCGGGCGCGCAGATGATCACCAGACTCGCGTGACGGCGGTCGCTAGGCAGCTCTATGACGGAGCTGAAACGGAGCTCGTATTTTTATTTCATATACCCGAGTCCGAGCAGGCCGAGCTGATGGGCCCAAGTACCGGCAGTCGACGGCAGGTGGGGCCCTGTCGAGATACCAGCCTTCAGGGACGTCCTACTCCAGAGCCCTGAGACCCCCGGGGCTTCGCATCCATGATGTTCGTCTTGCAATCCCTGGGGAATCGCGCAAGATCGTTAGCATATCACGCACGACGTATGCGCCATTGTCGCATACCTCCTCCAAGCCACATGCGGGGCCCGTGGTCCGATGCTCAGCCAACTTCTCGAATTTATTGGGTGCTACCTGAGTCGACTGGCAGACGAAGAAGAGCGTCGGCTGGCTCGCGCACGCTCTCGGTCATTTGCTCGCTGGCTGCGAGCTAAGCTGGTCGCCCATCCTGGTCCAGTCTACCGCTGGATTAAGCCTCGAGAGCGGTGCCTATCCCAGGAGGGTTCGGACCTCTGGCCAACGAGTTTCCTTGGAAATGTGGTTGACGTTCAGCGCAGATCCTGGGCCGAAGTGCGAAAAGCCGAGGACAGCGAGCACCGCGGGCTTCTGGGGCGCGTTTTCAAAGAAAAGGAAGCAGGCGAACTCCTGCAGGAGATGCGGCACAGTTGCCAGCTTGGCCCTAGACTTCCGCCTTTTACGATTGCTGAGTTACGTGCTGCAGCACTCCAGTTGTCCCCGGCGCACGGCGCTTGGTGCTGATCGTTTTCGGCCTCGACGTTGGGCCTACGTTTCCAACGGGGCTCTGTCTGCGATGGGCTACCTGCTGCACCTTTGCGAGGTCTTTGGGAATTGGCGCGACTTTGTGCGCAATGTTCACGTGGCCCCCCCGACCAAACCTTCGGCCGGGCATGGCCCGATCGCCCTTCTTCCATCAATTTGCCGTGCACGCGCCAAGGCTAGGCCCGCGCGGGTCCGCGACTGGGCCTCGAAGCTGCGCGGGGCCTACCTGGCCCGAGGGCCGCGGAAATCCACCTCGGACGTCGCAGCCAGGGCCCTAGTTCAGAGTGAGACAGGTAGGCGTGCCACTGGGGCGGAGCACGCCCCATTGCACGCCTTCGTGGGCATCGCCAAGAGTTTCGGCAGAGTTCTTCGGGGCCGAGTCTTGCGATCGGCATCTGCCCGCGGTTTCCCAAGGCAGACGACGGCGTCGTCTATGGGGATGTATCCGGGCGCCAGGAGATTGGCGTGGGAAGGGTGCTTCTCGGAGGCCACTTGGGCACGTGGAGGAGTGCCCCCTTGGTGTGCGTTCGCGATGTGCGCCCTCCAGTGCCTCATGATCGCCTGCCGGTGCCTTCTTTCAACGCGTTGCCGCGATCGGGCGCGCGATCGACGCGTGCGCTGATGATATCACGTTGTCCATCCTGTGCCCCGTCAACGGGCTCCGCGAAGACTCCCGAAAGGTTCTCAGAGTGCCGGGCCACGCCTTGGATGGCCTAAGGCCCGCGACAGCTAAGGACAATATGCAAGTCACTCGCAGTAACCCTCGTCTTAGGGGGGGCTGTCTGCGGGAAGCTTCGACGTCCTGGGCACGCATACTGCGGCGCCCTCGAGGCCCTGGGAATCGAAATCAGTTCGGGAGGGGCCCATCAATTTCACTTAGCCCAGGCCAAGAGTGCTCACGACGGTTAGACGCGCGCCTAGGATCCGAGCTGTGCGACGCGCAGGCCAGCTGGACATGCGCTTTGTCAGGCAGACCGCCGTGCCCGCCATGACCCACGGCATTGGGGTGCACGACGCCCCGCCGCAGGTCGTCGTTAAGATGAGGAAGGTGCTCGGGCAGTTCTGGCGCACCCCTGGAGCGGCCACGTCGGCGTGGCCCCCCTCTTGCCTGCAGTCCACGGTGTACTCGGGCCCGCAGGTACTTGCATGGGCAGCGCCCAGTCACCAGTGGGCCCCACTCTACCGCGACGGTGCTGTCCCTGCTGGGTGCTGACAGAAAACGTGGCAGCATCGAATTCGGATCTCGTGTCACAGCCCCAAGCCATCGGCTCATGTTTCGGGCCCCGCGGGGGCGAGCCTCCTCGCCGTTGGAGACCAAGTTGGCCACCTCAGCGGGGCATCTCATCAGGACTGACCTTGGGGGTGCTCTCGACCTCACCAAGTGCGCCCCCTTCACGGTCCTGCTCTTGGCGAGGGTGGCCTCCATCCGGCGTCTGTGGGAGCATTTGGCCATGGGGCCTCTAGGTTCAGCTGGGCCCACGTAGCCTTGAGACCCAAAGGGTACTGCGTGGAGCCCATCTTACAACTTCTAATGACAGACCCCGCCTGATCACGCGGAACCCTCTTGGAGATGATGCTCATTCTAAATTTTCTGGTGAGCCCCCACCTGGCCCCAGGGGGCAGCACATAGGAGTTGGGCGCCCAACCAGACAGAGGCTGGCATTAGCCGCGCCGTTGTTGCTGGAGGAATGTGGGCTCTTGCCCGCCTCGGGCAGTTCGGATGCTGTGCCGAGGCGCATTGTCCTTTGCGCGGCTGCGGCTTCTGCGACAGCCGCCATCTGTTCTGGGAGCGCCCGCGCCCGAAGCAAAAGCGGGCCCGGCACTTCCGCTGAGTTGATCTCAGAGGGTTTCTTGCCAAAGAGAGGGGAGCTTGGCTATGGGGCCGAGGGCTTGTAGGCAGGTCTTGCCTCCCGCCTGTGCCTCGGCGCATTCGTTCCTCAGCTTGGCGCATTCTGTTCTGGCGACCCCCGGGGCACCACAGGGCGCGCGTTCACAGACGGCGCGTGCAGGAATACATCGACGTGGACCGAGAGTGCGAGAGCTGGGTGGGGATTCGCCCAACTGACTGCTCATGGCGTCAGCGCAGTTGCATTTGGGTCCCCACCTCGTCCTGTCCAAACTTCTCCAAGGGCTGAAGTGCATGCCTTCTTACAATGTGTAATTGTGTATATCCCACCCATCACCATTCTTATTGACTTCAAGGGCCTCCTTGATGGGTTCGACAGGGGCCGTGAGAGGCGCGCTGCCCCCCGTAGGAATAATCCCGATCTCTGGGAGGGCACCCGGAGGAAAGTCGGTGACCTCGGAGGCTATAGGACTAGTGGTTTTGTTAAGCTTTATGAGGGTCACCAGACGGGGCCTGGGGAGCTCGCCCGTGAGTGCACGTGGGCCGACCTTGCAGCCACCCGCGGGCGCGGCCTCCATGCGGCCACCAGCGAGACTTGTAATGCCGCGGCTGCTTCCCACGGCAGTCTCCTCATTTGTCTCCACTGGATGGCGCGGGCTTTCCTTTCGTTTTTCTTGTTGTTGGGGGGGGCGGGGCGGAGACTAGCACCGCCCTCAGGGCTAAACGCCGAGCTCGGCCTGCCCCCGGGCGGGAGGGCAGTCCTGAACCTGCTCCTCGCCTCAGGCGCGCCATGCGCCACGCTCCCCGTAGGGCACTATTGCGCCGCAGGGCCGAGACCGCCGCCCAGGCTGAACGAGCTTTCCCATCGCTCCTGCCCTGCTAGCCTTAGGGCGTCGGAGGGTAAACCTGCGATCGAGCCTGTGCAGTTTCCCGCGTTGGTGGGGATGGCCCCGCTCCTGGGGCCCCGCGTGCCACATCGTCTGGAAGCGCTGGCCCCTCGACCCGGGAGGGGACATCGCCCGCGGATGCGCCTGCTTGGGACGGTTTAGGAGATGGCAGTGGGTTTTTGGGGTGCTGGGATGGAGGTCGCCCAGGCTGAGCGTGGCACCGTTCGCCTCCATGCTGCTCCCCCCTCCCCCCTCTACGTTTCGGACCTTCGTCGTGCGACTTGTCTTCGTCACTCGGGGGGCCTCGGGTCGTCGGATTCCGAGGGCGTTGGTCGGCGAGCTCGGCCGAGGGTCTCATTTGACCCCGTTCAGCTTGCAAGGCTTCCAGATCATATGCTCTTTGATCATGCTACTTCAGCCATCGCGATACCTGATCGCGAGGGCCCTGCTTTCAGGCCTGACAAGCGTAAAGGGTGGGCGCCAAAGGAGGCCTGCCCTTGGTGCCTGCACGGTGCCACCTGTGCCCCCCCGCCCCGCGGACCCGTCCCCTCCGAGGCTGCCAGGGGCCATCGGCTCTGGGTGGCCCCGTCCCACGTCGTGTCGTGCGCTCCCTGCGGTTACTACACTGCTGGCACGGCTGGGCACCTGCTCGTAGACTGCCCCTCTGGCACCCTCGGTCACCGTCTCTCAGAGAGGGCCCAGAGAAACCGTCGACAGTTTTTGGCTGGGGCCCATCCCGCTGATGAGGGGAGGGCGGACTCTCGCAGAATACGGACTCCTCGGCCTCTTTTGGGCTCGGGCCTTGAGGCCCAGTGGGTCAGGCTCTTGCAGAGCCACAGTCTCGGTTCGGGGCATCGAGAGGGGAGCGGCGCGGGAGTTGCGCATCTTCCCTGATCACACCTCGCCTGCTTCCTCTCGTTCCCTTTCCTTTTCTGCTTGCGCCGCGATCCTCTGGTGGGGGCGTGGCGGTAGACAGGCGTCGGGCGGTCACGTGTGATTGCCCTCTCTTTCGAACGCGCTTGGCGCCCTTTGGGAGCGCGGCGTCCACCAGCTGGTGCCGTATCCTCCTCCTCCTCCTCCTCCTCCTCCTCCTCCTCCTCCTCCTCCTCCTCCTCCTCCTCCTCTTCCTAGGACCTAGGATGTGGTTTCTCCCCTTGTCTCCTCGTCGTCCTTTTATCTCCCTCCCCCCCGGCCCTCGCGCTCGCCAGGAGTGCGACTGGAAGGAGATGATGCTGCCGCTCATCGGGCCCGAGCTCTTTCGCGCCCCCGTGGGCGACGCGAAGAGTTGCGTCAAGTTCATACAGCGCGCCCGGGGCGGGGTCCCCCCCTCGAGGAGAAGGAGTGGTAGGAGGAGGAGGAAGAAGAAGAGGAGGTGGAGAAGGAGGACGGGGAGGAGGCTCAGTATCGTTTAACATGCCTCGTTCCCCGACTCCCTCGCGACGTGAACAAATACTTTAGTAGGTTGTTGTTCCACGTTCGGCCCCTGGTGGCCCTCAGCGGGCCCCAGATCGTCGCACATCGGGCCGAAACACCAGTGCCGCAGAGAGGGCCCAGATGTCCTGGGATCCACACTTTTGAAACATCGCGACCCCAGAGGTCTGGATCATCTTCCTTCCTGCTTGCGCCTCGTCCCCCCCCCCCGCTCCCGCCTCCTCGTATCTCCTTGTCTCTCGCGTCCTCCTCCCGCCTCTTGTCTCCTCATCCATCTTTCTCTCTCCCTCCCTCTCCTCATCCCTCGATCCCTCCCTACGCCTTCTTTCTCCGCTTCTTTTTCATCCTTCTGTTCCTGTTCCTTATCGTTGTTCCTCCTCTTTGCGCCCCACGTTCCTCCTCCCTCTCCGACCCTCCCCTCCTCTGGCCCGACCGATTCGAGTTGAACACTTGCCCAGTTTTCTCTTTCGCGAGTATGCCGCCGTGTGACGGGTTCAGCGGGAATAGCTAATGTTTGCAATGCGCAACCTTTTAATTCAGCACTGTGCTGCTTTTCAGCGGCAGTCATCGTCTCAGGGGAAAACATGTTGCCCATATCCAGCTGGCGTTTTCAGTCTGCCCTGAGAACGTGATAGAAGCGCGTAGGTCTCAGTTTGCTGCTTAAGCCCACAGGGGTGTCTAATAGCGTTCCCCCTCCACTTCACCTCCCTCCTTTTAGGGGGCCGGTCCCTGGCCGCACGGAGCGAAGGATTGCAAAAAAACAAAAAAAACAATCGTTGATGCGAGCATTCGCTGTATTACTAAGGGATGGAGGGTATCATGATCGGGATGGTGATCGGCAGCGGGTGGAAGCTTGTCCGTCGGGCAGCGTGGCGAATACGTCTTGCCAACGTTGTTTCTTGAGTTGAATCTCCATCCTTGTGGCCTCCTTGGGTGGCCCCCTCACAGCGCTTTGGCTTCAGGCAGGTACCTATGATGAAGAGGAAGGTGTCGAACAACAGTTGCTTATCGTCCCGTGGAGCTCGGAGGGCGTCGATTGGACCCGCCCACGTTTGAAGCAAGCTCGCAGGTGGCTTCAAAGAGCTCCCAAGCGCAGTGCGTGTCTTCCATGGTCGGTCCCCTTGGAAATCTTATAGGTGCTCTTCCGTCCGTGTCGTTTCATTTGCAGAAGGGTGACCGGCATGGGGTTCAGCTTGCCCGACCTCTCCCTCCAATTTGTTGGGGATTTTTCTGCTGGCCTTCGTGCACAGGATAAGGCAGTCAGGCCACATCCCTTTCAGTTGGCACCTCAGCTTGGCAATCTCTTTGACTGCCCTTTCGGAAAGTGCTTTGTCGCCAGTGCGCTCTACCCCAGCAGCCTCAGCCTGGAGACCTTTTTTGCCCATGTGTGCCTCCCCAGACGGAGAAGGGAGACAGCCATACTCAGCCAACATATGTGCACATGCTGCCTTGCGTACTTCGGTATAGGACACATCGCCGACTTCACAGATATTCCCAACGTGTCACTGCTACTAAGTGGGAGTCTCTGGCTATCGCTTGGGCCAGTATCACGGGGGAGGTCGGGTGTTCATCGGGCAGCAGAGCTTCAGGTGGTCAGCGATCTTGGTGGAGGTGGTGGATGGGACGGTGTGCTTCAAGCCTTCTGTGGGAGCTCGCATCGGGGACCCGTGGGCCGTCAGGGTATTCACCAGATATATACAAACGTGCTCCGATCTCGCCCAAGATCAGAATGAGGAGAATCCCAGTCTGGCAACTTGATGTCAGATTGTCCTGGTGGACCAGGATATATTACGTCTTCGACTTGTCGTGTCCTCGTATGTTGACGATGCGATCAGAACGATCCTCCACCCACCCGGCCGTTTTCAAGGCCTGTTGGAGCTCTCTCGGCAGTATTATTCACGTTTCGCGTATCCCCACCAGCCTGCTAGCTTTCATTTTTCCGTGCATTTTTCCGCCGCTTGTTAGTTGCACGCGTTCGGTCCCGTTTCAGGCCGTTGTAATTTAGGTCTTTGCTACTCGGCATCTTCCTGACGGCGCGCGGCTCTCCCGCTTGCGCTCGCGAGCAAAATTATCCCCACCAGCCCATTCAGAAAGCCCTGCCCATGAGAGCTGACGGAAAAAGGGACGAAGAGACACATCTAGAGAAACACAGCGAGCAACCAGGGCTTTGGAAGGCCTCTTCGGGCCATCCCTGGGGGCCGCGTGGGGGCGAGAGGAAGAGGAGGAGCAGAGCTGGCGCGTCCATGGCTTACTGTGCTACGCCTCTAGATCTGCTTCGTTTCCTCCAGTGCTCAGTCGTTCCGTGTAGAGGCCACTCTTACCTTCGGATCTCACCAGTTCTGGTCTGGTCCACAGCCCCCTTCGGAAAGATGATTGTACAGATGGGCAGACAGGGTAGCACCGTGGAGGAGGAAGAGCAGGAGAGGGCGGACAACAGGAACAGGAGGGAGTAGGACACGGATAGCACGAAGAGCAGGAGCAAAGCAACGGACTGCCACTACACACATGTCCATAAGGGCGTCGCCCCCTGCTGCCGGCTCCTTCTCTATCATATTGGGACATCAGGGTCGCGTCGGTGCGTCTCGGCGTTGCCTTGGCGCATCTGGGAACATCATGCGGGGGCAGATAGGAATGAATCATCAGCGCAGGTTGAGACGTTGGCATTATCGAAGACGCCTACGGCGCCCTGCCTTTTTGGAAGCGCCCGCGTGGCCGAAAGTTGGGTCTGCGCTTGGCCAAGCTATCGGGCCACGCGTTCCCCGAGTGGGTTTCGAAAGCCTTCGGGGAGCACGGAGTCGGGCGAGCTATCGGGCCAGGCGGTTTCCGAGCTTTCGAGCTTTGGAGGACTCTTGGGCCGACGGAGGCTTCTTGCGGGCCTTTCTGGGGAGTCGAAGGCCATCTTGAGGCCATGTGGAGCCGTATTGGGTGCAGCTTGGGGCCATCTTCACTGTCTTGGAGGCCTTCTTGGCCGTCTTGGAGGCCATCTTGGCCGTCTTGGAGGCCATTTTGGGCGTCTTCGGGGCCATCTTGGGCCCTCCTGGAGCCTTCTTGGGGCCCTCCTGGGGGCCTCTTGGGCTGTCAGTGGGCCATCTTGGAAGCCTCTTGGGCGCTCTTGGGACGATGTTGGGGGCCTCTTGGGCCGTCTTGGGCCGTCGGAGAGCTGATAAGAAGAAAATGCCAAAATCCTTCAAATACCTAAGGAGCATCATCAATGATGTGTACCCTTTCAGGCCTTCCTGGAGGACGTCTTGGAGGCCTCTTGGGGGCTTCTTGGCCAGTCTTAGGCCATCTTGGAGCCATCTTGGGCCGTCTTGGAGGCTTCTTGGACGAACTTGAAGGCATCGTGGACTCTCTCGGGCCGTCTTGGAGGCCATCTTGAACCATTTTTGGCGGACTTGGAGGCCATTTTGGAGGCCATCTTGGGCCAATGTGGCCATCTTGGAGGCCATCTGGAGCCGTCTTGGAGGATTTTGTTTCGGTCGTTGAGGTCTCTTTCGGGTGGCCGGCGGGACGGGCCGAAGCCCCAGGGAGAGTTCTTTTTGGCAAAAAGAGCCAAAACCAAAACCGAAAGGATTCAGCACGCCAGGCAGCCCTGTGATGAATCAACAGGGGGCGGCGGATTTTAGTGGCCTTCGGCCCACCCCGCCACCGTGCTTGGGTTGTGGGTCTGATGTCTCTTGTAAATGTGTTGAGGTGTCGTGGGGAGCCTCTCGGAGGCGGTTTGGGCGCCTCTTAGGGGCCTCTTGGGGCCTCGTGGGGTATCTTTTGCCAAAAGGCCTCTTGGTCGCCTCTTGGGGCCTCTTGGGGCCTCTTGGCGGCCTCTTGGGGCCTCCTGGGGTTCTCGGGGCACACATATAGAATTTTTGGTTCGTGGTTCCCTGCTGGGGCCCGTCTTGGGCCGTCTTGAGCGCTTCTTGGACAAGCTTGGAGCCCTCTTGGGCCGTCTTGGGGCCTTCTTGGAGGCCTCTTGGGCTGTCTTGTGGCGGTCTTGGGAGCTTCTCGGGCCGTTTTGGAGCGTCGGAAAGCTGAAAAATAAACGAGAAGCCCACAATCCTTCAAAACCTGAGTAAAAGCAGCGGCCTTGGCCTCTTGGAGCTCTCTCGGGAGGCCTCTTGGAGCGCTCTTGGGGCCTCCTGGGGCCCTCTTGGGCCGTCGGGGAACCATCTTCGGGCGCCTTGGAGCACTCTTGGCCTCGCGCGGACTAAAAAAAACAGTAGGAAGCAGAAAGCATAATTGTAATATTGGAGCCTTGAAATTGTAACTAACGCAGGGAGCAGCAACCTAGTCCTACAGCCTGGCGGCCACACAAGGGAGCCGGCGGATGAGGATATATAGATGCCTTGCTGAATACCGCGGGCGGCGATGTCTTGAGTGCCGACATCGAGCGTTTTTCCCGCGCGTAAATGTTTTCTGGGTTCGGACGTCTTTCCGCTCGGCCTGCCTCAACATCATACGCTTGATTTCGATGTCCCTATCCCCGCCGCCGCCGCCGCAGTGACTTCGCGAAGGCGCAGGAGGGCATGAAGGTAGCTACGACTCCCAGCGGGGCCATCTGCAAGTTCAGGCTGCCAGGATATGCTCGAAATTGCCGGGGAAAGTTCGAACACACCCATGGAACAAAGGGGGGAACTTGCGCTGGGTCGCAGTGGAACAGAAGTTCTGAAGCCAGTGATGACGCAGGTGCGCGCACGATTTGGGGCGATGGCACGACGAGAACGCGCAAGCGCGGAGCGAGAAGAAAAGAGGACGAGGCTTCTTCATGGGAACGAGGAGTTCGGAGTTTGGGGGGTGAGATCGCAGTGGAACGGAGACCCCCAACCGGGAAATCGTTTCGTTTCGTTCGTGTCGTGCGTGCGGGCGAGGCGAAGCTGCGTGGGCTTGCGAGAGGAATGAACCCGCCGTTGCTATGGCGAAGTCAAGACAAATGATTCTCCCCCGTCCGTCCGTCCGTCCGTCCGGCGGTGGCCCTAGCGGTCTCCCGCGGTGTCCCGTGGTGTCCCGTGGTGTCCCGTGGTGTCCGCCGTTGCTAGGGCGAAGTCAAGACAAATGATTCTCTCCCGTTCGTCCGTCCGTCCGGCGGTGGCCCGCGGTGTCCCGCAGTGTCCCGTGGTGTACCGTGGTGTCCACCGTTGTTAGGGCGAAGTCAAGACAACTGATTCTGCCCCTCCCGCCCGCCCTGCGGTGTCCCGCGGTATCCCGCGGTGTCCCGCGGTGTCCCGCGGTGTCCCGTTGAGTGAGATCGATATAATAGTGAGATCGATAAGGAGATTGATATTGAGATCGATACTGAGATCGATGTGGTGCCCCGAGGTATCCGGTGGTGTCCCGTTGTGTCCCAAAAAGTGAGATCGATAGTGAGGTCGAGATCGACAGGTGTCCCGTGGTGTCCCGTTGAGTGAGATCGATATTGAGAGCGATGTGGTGCCCTGAGGTGTCCCGTGGTGTCCACTAATGTCCCGTGGTGTCCTATGGTGTCCCGGATAGTGAGATCGATATTGAGATCGATAGTGAGATCTACAGTGAGATCGAGAGGTGTCCCGCGATGTCCCGTTGAGTGAGATCGACAGTGAGATCGAGTGAGTCAGACGTTGGTTCCCCCCCCCACAACCTCCTTGTCAACCGAAGGGTGGTCGTATGTGATATTGTTGAAAGGAGTTTGATTGGTGCGCTCCTCGGGCGCAGTGCTTCCGACCTTTTTCGCACAGGACCCTCCCTGCGTTGTCGCGTGGCGTGGATGAAACCGCCCCGCGCTCAGGGGGGCGCCCGTCTTTGTCGTCGTGCCCGCGCGCCCCGATCGTCCTCTCCCCCCGTTGCCCGCGACAGGCCACAGAGTTGCGGTGGGCGCTGCAGAGACCGAAGTGCGATGTGGCGCCGGCGGCCCGCTCGCGACGCGCTGTGCCCCGCGACACGGCGTGCGCCAGAGAAGCCCTGGCAGGGTGCTGCCGTGCACGCCGGGGGGGGGGGGCCCTCGCGGAAGGATCGCCTCACGGGGACGGCGTGCTCCTCGGAGGGCGGCGCTGCACGCCGGCTGTCCAGCGTCGGCGCCAGGTGGTACACGGCGCGCACGCCGCAGCGAAGGCCCACTCCGGGGTCTGCGGGGGCTCCGCTTCTCTCGCCGTGCGCTGGACCTCAGGTCGGGGAGCCGGCTCGTGGCCGGGGCTCGCCGTCGCCAGGGACGCCCAGTCTGCAGTCGGGCCTGTCCCTCAACAGGAGGAGTATCCACAAGCAGTCCAAACATCATATGGGGACGATTTTTCCAGCATTTGCCTGACCATTTTGGAATCTGTCTGGAGTATTGTTTGATTTGTCGCCGAAAGCCCGCCTGTGGGGGGACATACCCGACCTCAGCCCAGTCGTTCCTTGTTCAGCGTTCCGTATGGCAGCACGGTGGCTGCGGCGCGCTTCCTGCCATCCTCGCAGACTTGGGCCGGCCGGCCATGGCAGGCGGGCGCGCCTCGGGCACGCTGCGCCAAGGGTGGCGGCCCAGCGTTCGCCACCGGGCGGCTCCCCGCACCGGTAGGCATTTTTGTTCCATCAGGGTTTCGTCCCGACGCCTCCCTGGGCGACCAGGGAGCTCTTGCACGGCGTGTCGCGCCGCCGGCCTTGGCCCACCGCGCCTCGGCGCGGCCCGCTTGTGCACGCCGCGGCCACCGCGCGCCAACGACCCGAAGCTTTCCCGGCCTCCCGCCCCCTCGGCGCGGAGCGACGCGCTATCCGTTCATAGGGCACGGCGTGTCGCCGGGCCGCCGCCGCGACACGCTGTATCATTCCATATCACCCCTGGGCTAAGAGTCGAAGAAGACAGATGTGCACAAACATATGGTCATGTTGGTTTTTGTTGTTCCGAGCGCCGATTGTGTCTGCGACTGGTCGGACTGGAAGCGGCGCGCAGGAGGCGCATTTTTTGGTGGACTCGTGTTGGATCGTCCGTCCAGCAGATCTGTGCACATGTTCAGTGTTGCCTTTCTCTTCCCTCTGCTGTTGCCTCCATCATCTCGGCCCTTCCTCCCTTCTACTTCCCCGACGCTCCTCTCGTGCTTTCTGCCCCGACGGGCTGTGGGTGGAGCTGGGGTGCCGCATCGGGAAACGAGAACTGTGCAGCCACTCTCGCGTGTCTTGGACTTGTAGATTTGGCCACGTCGGCCATGGAGGGTGCCCTTTCCCTCTCCCTCCAGCATCGTCCTACATTTTGCGCGGGGCCCTGACAGCAGAGCGTCGAGTGGTATTGGACATGTTATGCTCGAGAAGGTTTCGCCCGCCCATGTCCAAGCGGCCGCCCCCTCCCGGGCACGCAGGCTTCACCCTGACCTTCTACCAGGAAGTTAGGTGCACATGACCCGGCTGGCCTAGGCGTGAGCTGGACACAGCGGCCAGATGTTTTGCCAGTGCTCGGCCCTTCTATGGCCGTGTACGCCGGGCTTCCGCAGGTGCGTCCAGCGCACGGTCTCCAGATGTTACGCGTGCGCATCCAGTCGTGTTCGTGTGTGCAGCCTCCCAGCAGCACCGCCCCAGACCTTCCAGGCCGAGGACGCGCAAGGGCGACGAGCCCGCAGGATATCCTCGAGCTGCCTCGGCCGCGCAGGCGCGATCGCGAGCGCGCGGAGCGAAGGCTGTTCGGGAAGGACACGGACACGCCCTTCGATAAGCTCGACCAGGGCGGGCTTGAGTTCAGGGTGGAAGGACGCCCCGTCGCCCCCGCCACTCGCCTTTCCCGCTGCTCGGCGACCACCGCGACTGTGGGGTCCACGCTGGTCCGATCGATGCATCCGTTGCTGATTTCGGCGGGCCCGACTCGATCCGATCCGATCCCGACCTCTCCGCCGAACCGATGCGGCCCGATGTTCGCATGGCGCTTTTGTGCCTCCTGGCCGGGCCTATCCGATCGGATGTCGACTCCGTGCTTGTGCAGGCCGATCCGACGCGCGTTCCGTTCCGATCCGATTTTCCGATTCGATCACAATTCGATTTTGTCGCCGTTGTTGCTCGCCATTACCCCGAGATCGTCGACGTTGTCGGAAATTCCCAGGCAGCTTCGAACGGTTTCTCAGACGTGGAAGTCGCCAGCGGTGTTAAGAGGCCTTCGTGAGCGTTCGGGTGTTCTCGGAGATGTTCGGACGTTCGCGTACGTTTTTGTCGAAGGCTCTCGAAAGTCCTCAGTGTCGCTCGGAGGCTTTAGGCGTGCGGATGTTCTTGGAGGGTTCTGACGTTCGTGGACGTGTTCGAGCTTTCGCGGATTTCGACCGTGGTTTTCGGAGGCCCTCGGAGTCTTCCGGAGGTTCCCAGAGTTTCGCGGACGTTTCCGGACGTGCTCGGAGGTGTTCGGATGTCTGTCACGATGATCGGCAGCCTGCGCAGGTTTTCGGATGCTTTCTGAGGTGTTTGGACACTTGTGCTTCCAAGGTTGGACAGGCGGGTGCCAGTCTCCCCCCAACAAGGCGGACGGACACCTTTCGCCCCCCACGGCCGACATCACCAGCGCGCCATCGCCTCTAAGAAGGCCACAACGAGACCTGGCAAGATAAGACAGTGCCAGACGAGACAAGGCAGTCCCACACCAGACGCGACAAAACCAGACACGACAGCTTCCCAGTTGGCCCCAGATGTCCCCAAGGCGGCCCACAGATGGCCTCGAAAGCCGCCACGACTTCTCAAGACGGCCCCTGGCCCCCTGGCGGACTCGTATATGGCCCCCGTCAGACAAACATTACTTGGCATTGCACACCCGAGTCAACTGCCAAGACGACCAGGCTCATCGCAAATAAATAACGATACGACGAGGAGGCCAGTACTGTATGAAAGCTGTCGAACACGCCTACGGCGAACCACCGCCGCTCCCTCCCCTCTTGGAGCGCCTGTGTGGCCGAACGTCTGGCAGACGTCTTGCCGCTCTGTCGAGCTGTGCGCCCCCGCGGCCGTTGTGGAAGCCCCTGCGGGAACCCTTGGGAGGAAGAGCGAGCAGGAGAGCGGGCGGCGGAGGAGAGGGAGGGGGGGGGGGGGCGAGGACGAGGGGAGCCCCTGGGCCCCTGGCGGAGGCGGGCGGAGGCATCTGGGGGGCGCCTCCGCCGGCGGAGGCGGGCGGGAGTGACAGGCTCGGCCCCGCAAGAGCTGCGCTCTCCTCTCGCCCCGGGGCTGCTGGGCTCGGCCGCGCGCCGCGCTCCGCGGGGTGCGGGAGCCCCCCGCCCGCCGCCTACGCGCGCGCGCGGGGCGGACAAGACCCTTGGCATCGCTCGGACGTGTGCATTTTTCCTTCGGCGAGGACCATCGAGGAGCATCCTTGATCATTTGGCCGAAAAAAACACGCACGAAACCGAAAAAGGCACAGGGAATGGACGTCCGAGCGATGGCGGGGACCCGTGCACGCTTTTGTTCGCCCTGCTTCCTGCGCGCCGCAAGATGACCCCAACGGTGGCTATCGGCTCCGGGCCATACGGTGCGCCAAGTCGAAGAGGGGCGGCTACACCAACGACGGCGGGCTGCTGAAGAAGTTCAAAGATGCGTTTGAGCTGGAGGGGTGGGCGACGACGGCGATGCCGATGATGTCGACAGCGGTGCCCATCGGTCGTTTAAAGTGGTACGTTTTTGGATCCCCCGATCACAATCTACTTCATGCGCCTTCCAGCTTCAATGTTCGAGCGGCGATACCTCTTCCCTCCTCTTCAGGGGGCTGGCGGAGATCCAACATGCTTCAACGCCTTCCTACTTCATGTTTCTACCCGCTTCTTCCGACTGGCGAGTAGTCAGCGACGAGTAAGTGGGAGGAGGGGCAGCAGCAGCAGGATGGATCAGAGAGGTAGGGGCGGGATCGAGGGGGAGTGAGGGAGGGAGGGACGGAGAAAGGATAACTGATGCGTTTGGATTGCAAGACCGATGTAGCACGAAGCGTGTCAGCGGAAAGACGGGGACTGATACAAATTTGCACGAGTGCCAGGGCAGGTGAAACTATGTAAGTCAGTATTGGCGGATGCGAAACGGCACAGCGGCGCTGATGCAAAATGCAGGGGGCGGAGAACACAAGCAGGGAGGGAACGGAAGGAGCAGTGAGAAGTCGACGAATCGACGGAGGAGCAGTGCGAGCGGGAGTTGTGCAGAGGCGCTGGGACGGTCTGGGAGGCTCCACGTGGTCGCACCCGGGGGCGCTTGGTGCTTCTCTGGGCGCCCTCTCGGCCCTTCGCGAGCGGCCCGCCCGACATGATTTGCCCGCCCCGCGCCCTGTCCCTGCGCGCACGCCTGATTGACCGCGGGAGGTGGCGCCGCGTGGACGCGGCGGCGACCCCAGCGCCAGAGTTCAGGGTTGGACGCCGCCGGTGGTCCACACCGGCCGACGTCGAACGACTCGCGCTGTCGGGGGGCCGCGATCCTGCAAGGTTGAACGATCCACGCGGGGCCAGAAACGGACGCCGAAGTCCTAAAGTCATCGCGGCGTGAGTGAGGCACATGGGGAGGGGGGATGGAGGGGGTCGTGGTCCCCCTTCCACCCTCCTCCCCAGTTGGGGGATCGGGAAGGGAGTGCCAGGAAGCCGGCGGCTCGCCTGGGCGAGAGCTGGAAAGACATATGGGGCGCTCCAGAATGGGCGGGGCCTCGCCTTGGGCGCGTTCTCGCCCTCGGTGAAAGCCGGTATGGAAAGAATGGATACGAAGACCAATAGCGGTTCGTGACCACTTTGAGCCAGATTCGTTGTCGGTGTCGTCGCGGGCGTTGTCCATTTGAGACTCAAGGCCGCATGCCCAAGAGCGGCCGCTCTCGGTTCGTTGTCAGATATCGTGACCATTTTTCCGTACCCATTTTGGGCGTCCAAATTTTCGGGTCTTTCCTGGTTGTTCCGTCAGCGCTCCTCGTGCACCAAGCAGGGGTCGCTTCCCTTCTGTGTAGCGTTGCCTATGGTAGTAGGACGGTCGGCGGAAGGCCAGGCGGCAGAAGTCAACTCGAGACGGTGACATGTTTGGGTTCAGGGTGTCTAGA